TAATAAAATCAATCATAATAATAAATAATATTAACTATTAAAGAATATCTCAATAAAAATATTAAAAATAATTTCATATTATTTATTTTAATTATTCAAATATTATTTATATATCTAAGCTCTAGTGAATTATAACTTCTTAATTAATTTAACTATACTATTCTTATAGTTGTGTGTAATTATTAAAAGTACTCACATACTTTTTCATCTACTTTTTTTCAATGTTAACTTATTTAAAATGAGATACCACTGCTTTTAATTAAGTTTCTCAATATTATGTGTCATATCTTAATACTTTTAATTAGCTTTGCCACGTAATTTCATATTATATATGGATATTTTTTTTATTATTACAAATAATTAATTTTCAAAGATCAATAGTATATCATTAATAAATTATACATATAAAAAATTAACATTATATATAAATATATAAACAGAATATATTTAATAATAAATTTAAGAATATATATATATATATTATAAAAATTTAAGAAATTATAACCTTTCCCTTTTTAAGAAGCTCCGTTATTTATTATAAATATTATTATTAATCACAAACTATAAATATAATGATTTTAGATCTGTATATTTCACATTAATTTAAGTTTTTAATATAAAGTATAGATTTAGGACACATGATTTAGGCTTTCAATATAAAATATAGATCTAGGGCACATAGTTTATCATATTTATATTTAAAAACCAAACTATCTCAAAACTTATTAATATGAATACTATATTCAATGTCCTTGTTACCTACCATATATGAGGAAGAAAACACACATCTTCCATAGTTAATCTTCTGAAAACAACAACACCGACAAGTTGCAGGGACATTAACATAAATTTTGTGAGATATGATTGTAATGGGGCTGGTCTTTCGTGGTGTTGAAGGAAGAAGAAGACAAATTTAGATCTATAAAATATCAACACGCATGCAGTTTAGATATTTTTAGCCCCTAAAAAAATACTTGTTTTTACACATCATTAAAATGTTGCCTTATAATTGAGTTTTGGTCCCACTACTACAACTTGCAAAATTTAATATATATATATATATATATATATATATATATATATATATATATATTACAAAACTATATTATTTACAAAATCAAACCCTAAACCACTTAATTAAGAGAAGTAAACTAAAGAATTACTTAATTGTACACTGATTAAAGATAATATTATTTAAGTTTAGCTAATTTTTTATTTCATAAAAAAACTATATTTCCTAAAATGCTTTTATTAATTTTAATAAAAATGGTGTTTAGTATTTTTAAAATGATATTATTAAATATAGTTGAAATTTGCTTATATTTAAATTTAATGACAATGAATATTATGTTTAAATGCGTGTCGTTGGAAGTTTTCTCTGTTAAAAATATAGATTTAGTAAACAAAATTCTCAAAAAAGTTATTGTAAATCCTATATTAAATAGAGTTTAAATTTAATTTGTATGGGAGTATAACATATCCTAAATATGAAATCTATGAATAGATTTGCAAATGAAGTTATTGGATGATTGATTGATAGAGCATAACCTCTTAACATCACTCATTTTCAATTTTTGACTCATTTGATTGGATTTCATTGCATGAAAGTAATCTGCATGTCTATTTATACAATATTTTATTATTAGTTTTGATATTGATTTTATTATTGTTGAGTTTGATCTACCTTGGACCGTACAAAGTTTGTGATTATGTTCTTTAGTGGTTGGAATTTGGTGTTATTAGACGGTAGCATTTTTTTAGTAAAGTAAAAATCTCATGAAAGAGATAAACATGATATACGTTAGATATAATACAATATAATAAAATTATATATGATGAAAAAGTCGGTACCTTTTTTTTTGCAAATAAATTTGTAGAGTTAAATTAGATTTAAATTAATTTTGTTAGATATAATAGAATACGAATTATAAAAATTTGTTGAGTTTATTATATCATCAATTATCATATGGTATATATCACATCCCTTATAAATATTTTTATTTTTATATTGGACATCGTATTTTTTATTATAAAAGAGTGTGTTAAGATTTAAAATGATTGATGAAAAATATAATTATATTACAATATATATAGCCATTACATTTTTTAAGAATTGAATTACACTTTAACCTACTTTTAAAGATTTTCATTATATTTTACATAGTTAAAGATTACTTGTTCACATTAGTTTTGTAAGCGAATTCGTGTTAACAATGGACGAATGTACTATTCCACATGAAATAAAATATTGAAAATATGTAATTAAAATTAAGTTGATAAGTTGAGTTAAAGTGATTGTTAATTGTATATTAGATTAATCAACAATAAAGTAAATGCATTATAAACAAAATTAAAGTATGGTAAATGAATTAATAGAGAATTATACTTGTAATTTTTAGATTAATTAAGAGTTGAGATAAATAATAATTTATATATATATATATATATATATATATATATTTAAAATCTATTAAAACATCTTTTATAATCAAAGTTTTAACGTAAAAAATATTTCAAAATGATCAATTTCTATTAATATTATCATATCCAATATAAAATTGGACACTCTCCTTCATAGAAAATAATATAGAAGAAAATAATGTTGATACCTAATAAAGATCCAACGGTAATGAAATATATATTATATTCGAATGCATATTAAAAAAACACCACAACATTCCAATATGTTTTGTTTAATGAATTTGTTGGAAACATTTATAATTCTAAATTCGGTCGCTTAGTTGTTATTCTCACGTTTAACAGTCAGCTCTAAAACTTTGACTAATTTATACATTCAAAAAGTTTTTTAGTTTAAGTGTTGCAATTCTTTGGGTTAATTTTGTACTCAAACATAGTTTTATAAAGACAAAAGAACGTGCTTATTATATGGCAGTTATAACATTTTGTTTCTAGTAATTTTGAAACTAACACTAAAACTTAGTTGCGGATCTTGATTGATCTTGAACAGATTAAATAATATATTATTAATAAATAATAAATAAATATAAAAGAAAGAAAGAAGATCAAATAATGAAAGAATAAAATTATAGATATATACTTAAATATATTAAATGATCATTAAGTTTGAGGGAGAAAAAATCATAAATTATATGAGAGTTACAAAAGCTGAAGAGAGAGCTAAAAGGATAAAATTATAAATATACAAGTAAATATACTTAAATATATTAAATGATCATTAAGTTTGAGGAGAAAAAATCATAAATTATATGAGAGTTACAAAACTGAAGAGAGAGCTTAAAAGGATAAAATTATAAATATACAAGTAAATATATTAAATATTACATTAAATTTAAAAGGACCAAAATTATAAATTACATACTAATTACAAAACTTTAAGGAGATCACAACTACTTCAACTTTCAAGAAGATCCAGTCAGTATAACTTATATACATATTTAAATTATTTCAAGTTTTGTTCAAATATAACAAAGCATAATATTTATTACACTTTTTCTTAACTTTTAAATGTTAGAACAAATAAGTAATGAATCTAAAAATATTATAGGTAAAATATTATTAAATAATATATTATTAATAAATAATAAATAAATATATATAAAAAAAAATTATAAATATATAAGAAAATAATATCTAAGAGCGAGGGTAATTATGAAGATAAGAAGATACGCGGATGTGCTGCTGCCATGTATGTTTTTCGTACATTGATTTTCTGTTTCTCTAAATTTGATATTGTTAATTTACAAGATCCACGTGACAATGAAGAATGTAAATAATAAATATAATAATAAAATAATGTTTGGTAAAAATAAAAACTGTTTTGAATGTATATTAATTTTTAACCTAATGGTTTTTGTAATAATTATGTTTAGCTGGTAAAACTCAAATTTTTAAATATATATTCATTTTTATTATTAATTTTATAATATCATACAATCATTTTTAAAGAAAAAAAGTTTAATTATATTTTTAATCCCATAAATTTATAATGATAAAATTTTTATTTCTCAAATTTTGAAATAATTCCTTATAATTAAAAAAAACTAATTTTAAATTTAAAGGATTAAAATTAATTTTTAAAACTATTTTAAGTCCCTTAAAATTTAGTGTTTAGAAAATAAAATCATATTTTATTAAATTTAAGGAATTTAACTTGTTTTTTTAATTAAGGAGATTATAAAATGATTTAACTCAAAATTAAGGGAAAAAGTATAATTAAATCAAATAAATTATCTACCTTTTTTTCTGGTATCTGGCATGTATTTATTATCTGTTAGGTACAGTCTTAAATTGTTACCTACTGCAGATTATTAACCGGATAAGTAAGGACATTCTAGCAAATGTTTCACCACAAAATTCATAATTGGTCAAATTTATTTTTCCTCACTCTCTTTTGATATGAAATGACTTATCATATTCCGTGTGCGTGTCTATCACCTCCACAATGAACTCAGAACAACAACCACAAACAATCTTCTTCCATCACCACATCATCACAGAATCTCTTTGAAACAGAAAAATTATCAACTGGTCTGATACTAATGTTGTTTTTAGTGATCTTCACTTGGCACGCAACACATAGTTAAGTGTTATTAACTTTTCTTGAAGGTTGAAACTCCTGAATAATTTGATAGAGATTAACTTTTCTCTTAAAAAACATAGGAACACATCACCACCTTCCTCTGTTAACCAATCAACAAACCTCACGTTGAACACTCACACTGGTTTACTTTTTCATTTTTAACACAAAGGGTAAGGGAGATTTGTCATGTTCACACATCACACAAACAAAAGTCAAGGCAATTTTGAGTATTAGTAGTGTCAGAGTGTGTATACTACAAGCATAGAGGTACTAATTGTAATTAGGCAAAGTTGAGGAGGATAAGTCGGCACAATTTCTCTTTCTACTGATGCATTTATACATGTATAATGTATGATTCAGTTGTATTATCCAACCACCTTCCTCTCAAATCTATCTCCATCTCCAATTCCCTCCTCTGAAAACTTATTTCACCTTCCACATGGGAGAAACTCAAGAAGTACAACACCCCCATGAAACTTGTTTAACCATCCACTTGGGAGAACCTCAAGAAGTACAACTACTTAGCAAAATTGGTAAGTCCACTGTCATCTTCCATATTTAAAAACAAAAGGTACAATTCTGTTAAAGACACAAAATTATGAGCAAAAAAGTTTGCTTAAAGGTCTTTTCCAAGAATTGCATCATATTCTGTGACATATTCACAGAAACTGTGATTATAGGCTAAGAAGTCTTTCCACTTCATTTATGCAGAACATACATATATTGAAGTGTTTTGTATATTTTATGCATATAATGGAAAATCTTGGTCCTAATTTCGATGGTTCCTAGAATGTAAACTGCTGAATTGGACATAACAATGGTGCCAGCAGAGTCCAGACAAGACTCATTTAGCAAGAAACAAAATCATTGAACGTGATAATCTATGTAACCAACCACAGTATAGTCGGTACCTTAGTAGTAAAAGACGTGAAGCCACCTAGGCTGAGGTTGTATGGATGATGGAATGTTTTAGGTGGAGGTCTGGTTTCTGAGCTGTATCAATATAATAGTTCCCCCAAAAAACAATATTAAAGAATAACATCATCTACAGTTTGGTGAGGCTTTTAGTTCTGATTATAGAATAAATTATTAGGATCAGAGAGAATTTTATTTCTTTATTTTCTATGCTTATAAATAATTAACGTAGTTATCTTTTCCTTATTTTTTTCTTTTTTTCAAATATTTATATAAGAAACTAAACCAAGTTTTTCAAAATCTATACAAACAGGAAGAAAAAGTGATAAACACAAGCTTTTTTCTAATAATGGAGACTCGTAGCTTCAGGATAGAGATGCAAGAGTTCCAATTCTTTCAATCAAGACACAATTCTTTTGACATGTGAAACACGGTAAGCGACAATAACAACAATAATAGTAATAATAACAGAAGAAGAGAAGAAAGAAAACATACATAACCTTTGTTCAATAAATTATGACATATTATCTAAGTTGATAAAATGATAATTTGTGATGCTTTTGCAGAAACTCCTGGGGTGAAAGAAACAAATTCCTTGGAGGGAAATAGTTTTCGTGGTCCAATGAATGAGTCGACAATGAGTAGGAAAAAAATGTATTATCGTTGGTTCAGAATAGCCATCCATTCTGCACTTGTGTTGGTGTGTGGATCAGCTGCAGTACTCCTTGGAAGATTGTACTATAACAAGGGTGGAAAGAGTAAGTGGATTGGAACACTTGCTCAACTTGGTGGTTTCCCTATTCTGCTTCCTTATTACTTCATCTCAGCACCCAAAAAATTCAGCACAAACAATAGCAATCATTCAAATCAGCCATCTGTTTCAATGCTAGCATTTATCTACATCTCAATTGGCCTACTCCAGGCAGTAGATTGTTATTTATATTCAATTGGGCTATGGTACCTTCCTGTCTCTACCTATTCACTCATTTGCTCGTCCCAGTTGGCTTTTAATGCTTTCTTCTCATACTTCCTCAATTCACTCAAGTTCACACCTTACATAATCAACTCTTTAGTCCTTCTTACCATTTCCTCTACCCTTCTTGTATTTCAAAACGAGTCATCAGATGATTCAGATTCCACCCAAATATCGAAGAAAAAGTATGTGATTGGATTCATATGCACAGTTGGTGCATCTGCAGGGTATGGACTGTGGCTTTCCCTCACTCAGCTTGTGTTCCAGAAGGTTATGAAAAGGGAAACATTCAAAGTGGTCATGGACATGATAATATACACGTCTTTTGTAGCTACCTGTGCTACTGTAGTGGGACTTTTTGCTAGTGGAGAGTGGAAGGGTTTGAAGAATGAAATGAATGAGTATGAGATGGGGAAGGCTTCATATGTGTTGAACCTCACTTTCACAGCCATACTTTGGCAACTCTTTACAATTGGTTGTTTGGGGCTCATTCGTGAGGTTTCTTCCCTCTTCTCTAATGCCATAAGCGTTTTGGGAGTGCCTATTGTTCCAATGTTGGCAGTGATATTCTTTCATGACAAAATGCATGGTATTAAGGCTATCTCTATGGTGCTAGCTATCTGGGGCATTATATCATATGTGTATCAACAGTACATCGATGATACCAAGTCCAAAAACAGAAACACTAGTCACATCCCCAAAACTTCTGTACCCCCCCTAGAAGAGGTTCATAGATGAGTCAGGTAGCCTTTTAAATCATCAATTTACAAACACTTTTACAAATATGCATGTTAATTGAATTTTAAGTTTAATGGCTATGCACTGTGAACCAATTGTATGACTTTTAAGATAGCTAATAGAAAAATCAACAAACTCTCTCTCTCTCTATATATATATATGATAATTTGTGATTGGATGATGTTATAAAATTGTTCTACTTCGACATTTTAGCTCTTAGACTGCTTAATCACCATGCTCTTACAAATTGAAAAGTAGCATCAAATTGAATTTCATGATTTGTAAGACAAAGATAAGCCTCATTTATATATTCTACTATATTTTGTAGATCTCAAAAATACCTTCTACGCCGAGATTAGAGATAAATAGATAAAGGGTACTTCATTGTTTAAAATAACTTCTAACTTATTATTGCCAACTAACTATAACACAGCTTGTCCTGCTACATGTCAACCATGTCATTGAATTTGGGATTGCAGGACAACTTATCAGCTGTATTCTTCAACCATGCCAACCCGTCTAAAATAATATTGTCTTTCACTAATTGCCTTGACTTTTGGCCACATGAGGTAGAATTTTAGAAATCTCACACCCTCATAATTTCTTTTAAGTTCCTAATTAAGAAATCTAGAACATATCCTCAAAATTCAGCAGGATTGATGAGTCTAAAAAAATTATGAATCAGTGAATCTGGAAAATCTCTACATTGGTCGATCGTGCTTGGTCCTACCTAATAAGTTCCAGTTTGCCGAATTTTTCTCCCAGCAAATTCCCCCACAATCATCATCCCTTCTGTGTACCCTTTCAAGTTCGTTTGATTTTCATCTGCAAGCAATCATCTGATATGCCCAATAAAACGGAGCATAAATCACCAAGATCAACAACAGAGTAATAATCGTGATGGTTGAGATGATATATTAGTTTCCAGTGTAAAATGGTTCAGATTTTACTGTTTAATTTTTCATGCGTGTCATTTTTTTTTAAGATGAAATAACTTTTCAAGTTGCATGTGAGTTGTTTTTGTTTATGTAAGTGCAAATGTGACTGAAATGTAAATGTGAAGGACATGTAAATGTACTGAGAATGTAATGTTAACATTGATAAAATAAAAACTCATAAAGAAATTCTATAAAAGTGATAATTCAAATTGATAAAAATTTCATTGAAATAGATAAAGAAATTTAATAAAAGGGATAATCCAAATTGATAAATTTTTTATTGAAATAGTCTTTTTTTTGTTCGTAATATTTGTTCAGCTTGTTAGTGTCTTCACCCTTAATTATTCATATTCCCCTTATTTATATTTTATTTGGTACAACCACTAAGAAAATAAAATAAAATATCTTTCCTATTAACCGCTCCATTGTCACATGAAACACGTGTACCCATCCATGTTACCTACTAGAGTAATAATCACCTTTGTCACAGTATAAAATTATAACTAGTTGTTCGTATTTCTGGATTCTATAACTTTTTGATATATTTTTTTTGTCTTTTTTATTTCTTCAAATCTTCAATTTCACCGTTTTTATGTTTCTTCAATTTTCTCGATTCGTTGATTCTTCACTTATGGATAATAGATTCGTTGATTCTTTAATTTTCTCTTATCCTCTTTCTTTTTCTCGATTTTTCTTTATAAATCATCAATTCTCTAATTCTTCAATTTACACTTTTACTCACTTATTTTTTTTTTATCTCAATTTCATTTACATCTCGATTAACTTCTTTATTTTTTATTTTCTATATCTTTCGAACACTTTCCATCTTTACCACCTTGATCTCAGTTTTAATGATATCAATGATCAATTTTTTTCCATATACTTGTAAATTGGTAAGTAACACATAAAAACATGATGGTGCACGTGTGGACTGCAAACATACCCATCATTGCACTCTGGAACCACAATGCACATGTTCTATATCACCATGATTTTAAGTTCTGCATTACACTATTCGAAAGATATAATTGTTCAATCAAGAACTTCAAAGAAAATTATATGTTTTAAATCCAGCAATTTAGAATTTTTTAATTCGACTTACTGATAAGTAGACTATTAATATTCGAGAACCAAATAATATATTATTAATAAATAATAAATAAATATAAAATGAAGAATGAATATGAAAGGTTGAAAAGATAAAATTATATATATATACTTAAATATATTAAATTATTATTAAGTTTGAGGAAAATAAAATAATAAATTATATGAAAGTTACAAAATTGAGGAGGAATTAAAAGAATAAAATTGTAAATATATAAATAAATATCTGGAGTCAAAATAATTAATTAAATGAGAATTAAAAAAAAATTTGGAAGGATTACGCCCTTAATTTTCCAAAAAGATCTGACACTGCAACTAATTCAATTCAGAAAAAAGGGAAAGGATAATCTCATCTTCTCAAAATTATGGGATGTAATAAAAAAATATGGGTTACAGAAAGTGTTTATAAGAAATGGTAATTAAAGAATCTATCCGTATCTTTCTCGAAATTTGTCTGCAGTGTGTATTTGCTTTTTAATTATTCAAATAATATATTATAGATTTTATTTACTTACATAATACAATTTTTTTTTAAGTTAGAATTTCATTCCCTTGTACATGAAACCTGAACATGGTTATATTTTTTTTTTCAAATCATTTAGAATTCAGTTTTCAGGCAATCAAATTCTGAATTATTATTTTTAATTTTTATTTATTTTGTTAAGAAAGAAAAACTAAGTAAAATAATATATATAATATTATAATGTTTTATTTAAAATTTATAGTTTTAAATATAATTTTAAAAAGATTTATATATTTATTAGATTAATAATATATTTAGATTTATTGTTAAAAGTAGTAAAATAATATTTTTAAAATATATTATTAAATATTATATTTATATCTTATTTGTATGATTAATTTTTTTAATTCTTTGATTTATTTGATATTGTAATATTTTTTTAAAATTAATAATACATTAGGAGGATAATAAAAATCTTAAATATGTATACAAGATGAAATCATATTTTTATGTAAAATTATATTTTTAAAATGTATTTTTGTTTTGTTTTGTAATATTTTGGAAGATATATATGTTTTATATTTTAGAAATGAAAATGAGTTATAAATTGAAAAAATAATGTATTAATATTTTTGAAATCCTTTCTACATTAAATAAAAAATTTGTGAATAAAATATATATGTAAAACTATAACTTTTTATTTAAAATTTGTGGAGTTTGAAATTATAGTTTTAAAAGAGTCATATGTTTATTAGATTAATTGTAATATGTTTTAAATTATAGTTTAAAAAAAAGTTGTATGTTTAAGAAATAAAAAATATATAAGTGTAATGTAATTTACTAATATGAATTTAAATTCTTGTAAGAATTTAAGAATTGATATGTTATACAATAGGGTATGAGAACATTGATAAAGAATTGAACAATGTATAATTATAACTGAATAAGAAATATATTTGTTGAATGAAAGTCATTACACCTAAGATAGTTTACATTTCACCCCCTCTTATATGTTGAATCCAAGGGTTAAGTTGTTCCCTTAATTTATACACATGTGATAGACGTGTATATCTTGTTTCAATGAACAGTTCGATGTACTGCCACATGTCCGGACGATACACAGAAAAGTCCATATGTTGAACTTTTTTCCAGCAATTAATCATTTGTACAATATCATTATCTGATTTGATTTCAACCGTGTCATGTATAAGTATGTTATTAACTACCCTGACGGGACGAAGGTAGTTAATTTTTTATACTATGGAACGATTCCCACGATGTATTTTCTGGGTTATTTTTTGTACAAGCTCATCAAAGGTGAAATTGTGGGGGATTGACATGGTCAGAGTAGTGTCTGATCTGAAACATAGCCCATAACCATATGGGCTATCTTTGATGGCTGCCTGTTTGGAAAGTCCTTCATAGTATAGCTTTGCTGGTGAACGTGGGAAAAGGTTTGGGTTTGTGGAAGAGGAAGAGAAATTTGGTTGTAGAAGACCAAGTATTTCCTCATCCGACCTTGTGAAGGTAACAAAGAATTCCATTATTGTGTTAATGGGTGAATTAGACTTTCAATTAATCATTTCTGCAATGTTAACATCTGTTGATATTTGACGAGCATCATACACAATGGCTCCTTCTTCATTGCATGTGGGTCTTTGGAAGTAGAGCTTGTTAATAGTTGTGGTGGGTGGAAGTTTTATAGTTGATGACATTTTTTGGTTCAAAAGGTTGAATGTGCATTTGTAAGGAATGCGAAAGAGCTTTGGACTCTCACATTGGAACTGCACATCATCGTTAGATTGAATTATTTCTCCATTTGAAAACAAGGCTGCAATGTAGGAATTTGAATAGTTTTCTTGGTTGTTGATGCCAAAGTTCTCTATCTGAGAGAAATGAATGTGTTTATTTATGCAGGGTGGTGGTTGTAATGGGTGGGTTTATTATGCAATAGAAGAGTATGATAGGTTGAATCTGGAGTATTGATATTTATAGGGAAAGTAAATTTGGGTGTTGGTATGGATTGAAATTTGGAGGACTCCATCCATTAGATTTAAGTGTAGTACAAGTTCATATCTTCCTAGGCAGGCTTACCACACTACTACAGAAAACACTTTCTACGACAACATCCAACGTCGGTTATCACGAAGACCGACGTTGTACAAGACGCGGTGGCAAACTTGTAATTATGAAACAAAATTTAACGTCGGTTATATAATAATCGATGTAGTAACTGCAATTCAACGTCGGTTATATGACAGATGACGTTAAATGTTTAAATTTAACGTCGGTTATGTATAACCGACGTTGAATTCCCAAAATCAACGTCGGTTACATGATTTACCCGACGTCGAAAGCGTTATCCACGTCGAGTTTTTTAATAACCGACGTTGAATGTCCTTTATACCTCTCCTCCTAGGCGCGCTGCCCCCTCGTCTGCTTCTTCTTCGTCCCACATACTCCCTCCTTCTGCTTCTTCTTCGCTGTGCCTC